TGCCCATTCAGTCTTAAGCCCAATCTTTAAATTGGATTGTTTTCTCACTGTTGAGTTGTAGGGGTTCTTTGTACATTTTGGAAAACATTGCTTATCACATACATGTTTTCCCCTCCTTTCTCCAGGCTGTGGCTTGTCTCTTGTCTCTCTCAACATTGTTTTCCACAGTGCAGAAGCATTTTTAGTATTGATGAAACCCAGTTTGTCTATTATTTCTTTCATAAACTGTGTCTTTCTTCGGTTTTGTATACAAAAAAAATTATTCAATCCTAGCACTAAGGAAGCAGAGGCAGGCGGATCTCTGAGTTTGAGGCCAGCCTGGTCTACAGAGTGAGTTCACGGACAGCAAGGACTACACAGAGAAACCCTGTCTCAAAAAAAAAAAATTCCTATTCCCAAGACCATTGGATTTCCATCAGTTACTGTCTAGTTTTGTGGTTTTATATTTTGCATTTAAACTTAAGATCATTTTTTCACTTAATATTTGTGAGAGTTCCAAGTTGAGTCTGGATAATTATTATTATTTTGCACATAGATGTTCAATCGGCTCAATACTATTTATTTTTCTCCATTGCATTGCCTTTGATCCTTGGTTAAATATTGCCCAATTACAACTATTTGTGTGCTATGTTTTTATTCTAGTCCATTGACCTAGTCGACTGTTCTTTGACTAACACAATCCCATCCCAATGACTATAGTTTTAGAGCATGTCTTGAAGACAGGTAGCTCTAGTCCTCCATCTTGATTCTGATTTAGTTGCCTGCCTTTCTTCCTCTCTTCCTCCCTCTCTTCCTATTTCTCCCTCCCTCTTTTCCTCCCTCCCTTCCTCCCTCCTCCCCTCCTTCCTTCCTTCCTCCCTCCTCTCTTCCTTCCTTCCTCCCTCTCTCCTTCCTTCCTTCTTCCTCTCTCCACCTTCTCTCCCTGTTGTATAATTGATTATATTAATTGATATTTGAATAATAACTCACTTTTGCATACCTGGGATGAATCCCAGTTATTTGTGGTATATAATTTTTTAATATAATGTTGAGTTCTATTTCTTAAATCTTTGTTAGAGATTTTTGCACCTATGTTTCTGTTTCTATCCTTGGAAAGAGACTGTAGAGAATGAGTACAATCTCTTCCTTAAATATCCGGCAAAATTCATTAGCAAATCCATCTGGTCTCAGAGATTTCCATTTTGGAAGGTTAATTAATTGTTGATTTGATATTTTAATAGGCCTGTTTCAGGATTTCTGGTTTTTGTTGTGTTGGGAATCAAACCCAGTGCTAGACAAGTCTCTACCACTGAGCTACATCCCAGCCTGTGTTCATGGTGTCTGAACTGAAGTTCTCTGTTTTATTTCTGATACTAATAATTTGTGTTCTTTTGTGTTTTTTCTTAGTTGGCCTGCACAGAGGTTATACATTTTACTGATATCTTCAGAGAATCAACTTTCAAAGAACCAGGTTTCATTTATTTTCCTTACTAATTCCCTAAAGAGAATCTCATTGTTTTCCATTCCTACATTTATTATTTTTCTACTTCAGGTAACTTTGTGTTTGGATATTCAGGTTTGTTTTTATTTTTCGTTAGGCCTTTGTTCTCTTTGATTTCAGTTTTGAAAGTTGCTACGGTTTGCTTCTGTAGTCTTCCATGATTCATGCTGAAGTTTAATCCTCCCCATGGTAGTATTAAGAAATGGAGTCTTTGGGGGAAGTGATTAAGTCATGAAGTTTCTTTTCTCGTGAATGAAATTAAAGCCTTATAAAACAGTCATCAGAAATCTGCCCCTTCTCTTATCCCATTAAGGCTGTCATCTCAGAAGGCACTCTTTGCAAACACTAAGTCATCCAGAGCCTTGATGTTGGACGTGCAGCCTCTTGAACTGTAAGAAATAAATGCCTGCTGTTCATAAGTTGTCTAGTCTGGGGTGTCTTGTTATGGCACAAAGGCAGGTTTTTATCAATGAATCCTCTGGTTTGCAGCGGCTTCCATCAGCAGCGAAAGCCCATCAGAGGAAGGGTGCCAAGCAGACCAGGAGGGAGAAGGACACATTTCCAAAAGAAGCAGTGACCAGACGGATGAGCGTGCTGTCGTGGTGCTTGCTGAAGCATGGAAGCAGGTTGGGGTGGGCGCTCAGGTCCTAAAGTACCCCTGAGACTCTAGAGGTGGCTCTGGGGTGTCACTGGTGGCTGGAGGCACAGTGTTTTCTTCTCTCTGTTTTATCAAAGTCTCTGCCTTAACAGGGATTCTCATGCTAGCTCTAACTACTTGGAAAGCTGAGCTCTCTCCTCTTCACATGGAACACGGGTTGGCTTTTATTCAGACTAATTGTGCGTGGGGTGGAAGAGAGGGATCTCTGTTCTTTGCCACGCCCCATCATTCTTCTCCCACCTGCCCATATCTGTCATTATCCAGCAGGGCCCTTGGTATCTGGGCCACAGTCACTTTGCCTGTGCTCTTTGTCAACTTGACATAAACCTAGACATACCTAGGAAGAGGAACCTCAACTGAAGAAATACCTTCATCAGATTGCCTGTAGGCAGGTCTGCAGAACATTTGCTTGGTTAATGATTAATGTGGGAGAGCCCGTCCACTGTGGGCGGTGCCATCCTTGGGCAGGTGGTCTTGAGTTGTATAAAAATCAGGCTGAGGGGCTGGAGAGATGGCTCAGAGGTTAAGAGCACCGGCTGTTCTTCTAGAGGTCCTGAGTTCAATTCCCAGCATCCACATGGTGGCTCACAACCATCTGTAATGAGATCTGGTGCCGCCCTCTAGCCTGGGAGTCTACATGTAGACAGAACACTGTATACATAATAAATAAATCTTAAAAAAAACAATCAGGCTGAGCGAGCCATGGGGAGCAAGCCAGTCAGCAGCGTTCCTCTGTGGTCTCTGCTTGAGTTCCTGCCCCGAGTCCCTGTCCTAACTTCCTTTGGTGATGCACTATGATGTGGAAGTGTGAGCCAACGAACCCCTTCTTCTCCAAGTTGCCTTGGTCACAGTGTCTTATTGCAGCAACAGAAAACTGTGACGGTCTCCCTTCCCTTGTCTTGTGCCTATGGGGACATCCCACTAGCTCCTAGGCTCCGTTGTCTGACCTCCTTAGGTTCTGACCTCTCCACACCCTCAGCTGGCATGGCTTCTCTTCAGAGGTTCTTCCCTCAGTCATTGTGTGCTTCATCCCAATCCCCTTTTCTTCAGCTCTTCCATCAGCTATGCCCAAGACTGGCTCCTGCGCCTTGCGTGACTTCCCATCACTTCTTCCTTCTCAGTGAGACTCATGGTGTGTTCTGTCACATGTCAGTACCTTCACCTTCATGCCAGGCTTGTGGACTCCCAGTGTACTGGTTCTGCTAGTGGCCATAGTCATATCAGGTTCTCCAAAAACCCTAATCATAGGCTTCTGGGACATTTCAAAGCTTCGTGTATTCGTGCCGTAAGTCTATGCTCCCAAAGACCTCAGGGCCCCAGCCTACTGCCCACCTCACTAAGTCTCATTTGCTCATTCAGCCCTCTCCTGCTGCAGCGACCATTTCAAAACAGCTTTGAAGGTGTCTAGGGTGCAGAGTTTGGTCACTCACATAAGCTCAGGTGACTGTCTATCTCACGGGGTTTGGGCCAGTCCCTGGGATAAGAAAGAACCAAATGCCCAGAGGGCTGGTCTCAAAGATCACTCAGACACAATCGTCACCGACTCTGGCTTCTTAGTGAAAGGTCGTTACTAAATGGTTGCTGTAGGTTGATGAGATCATAGTGAACAGTCATGATCAGAGCAGGTGACGCAGATGCCATGGGATGAGCCTGTGCATCCAGCTTGGTGGCCTGAACGAGAAACCAGAAGGCCATGCTACGCCTCTTATAGGAGAGAGGAAGTTCTCTAGGGAGGGATGAGATGTAAGGAAGCTAACTCAGGAATTTGACAGAGCTGGGGAGGAGCGTTACTCTACATGGGGTCTCCTGGGGTCAGTGGGGCACCAAGTGAGCCTGGCAATGAGTTGATCTCTGAGGGTGTCACCTGAAACTTCAGAGGGAAAAGGGATTGACTGTTGATGTGGTACCTGGGGCAATCATTGAAAATTAGTGAAGGGGATCACCCCATTCCTGGTTTCTGGATCCAAGGACACCCTCCCTCAGGGGTTTCTGGTATAACTAATGGAATGTCATTAGCAGACAAGCCCAATAGGAAGGCAGGGTTCCTTCATGACATCCTTTTTTAAAAAAAGGTTTATGCATGTATTTTTATGTAATTTGCACGTATACCTGCATGACTAAAGAGAGCATCAGAGAGAAGAGAGGTTCAGATCCCATGCCGGATGGTTGTGAGCCACCATGTGGGTGCTGGGAATTGAACCCAGGACCTCTGGAAGAGCAGCCAGTGCTCTTAACCACTGAGCCATCTCTCCAGCCCAACTCCATGACATTCTTAAGCAACATCCACATCCTTACCCGAGGAGTAGAAATAATACTTGTCTCTTGCCTTTCCAGGTGCAGGTAGGTTTCGTTTCCTCTGGCACATGGAATGCAACCCAGGAGTGGACACACAGGTCTTCTCCTAAGGTGATTGCAAGTATTTTTAGGGAAACTGAATATGTTCAGGAACACACCCTGTGTTGGGGATGGGGTGGTCTTGAGTCTGAGTTTGTGGAGCTCTTGTTCACTGGTGACGAGCCCTGTTAACAATTGTCATTCCGGGGCTGGAGAGATGCTTAGCAAGGTTAAGCACACTGGCTGCTCTTTCCAGAGAATCTGGGTTTGAATCCCAGCACGCACAACTGTCTGTAACTTCAATTCCAGGGGAATCTCATGCATTCTTCTGACCTCCATAGGCACCAGGCACACACGTGGTGCACAGACATACATGAAGGCAAGCATGCATACACATAAAATGTTTTTTTTTTTTTTTAATTAAAAAAGAAGAAACTGCCATTCTGGCCATCTGAACCCCTGCCCTGCTTCCCTGTTTCCTGCCGGGCACCCCGAAGCCCAGCAGGAGGCTAGCCCATGTCTTCCTACCTTTTTCCTGTGGTCCTGGTAGGTTTTCTCCCAGGCTCTCTGCAGGTCCCTATTAGCCCAAGGGGTGGTCAGCTGGGGGGCTCTATGCAGCATCTCAGATCGCAAACTCCAGGCTCCCTTCAGAGAGAAGCAGGCTGAGCAGCCCAGCCCCAGCAGAGCTGTTTGTGGGGTCATGTGACTGTTGCCATGGCGCCCAGGCCTGGGGAGAGCCCAGTTGTGCCTGTGGAGGCTTTGGAACAATGGATGAGAGCTGAGAGAAGAATAGACCCTCCTTCCACTCCAGCGGTTGTCTTGGATCTTGATGAGCTCACTGCTTCTGCTTTGAGCAGAGCAAGTCAGCTCCCAGCTCCAGAAGAAAATGTGAAGAAAGAGGCCAGAGGCCAGAGGCCATTCGCTTCGCCGGAACTGACTAGAATGGACCAGCCCCTCTTTCACACTGCTCTTCGGACTCTTCCTCATCTGCCGTCTGCCGTTTTCTCCATTTCTTTTCTTTCCTTTCTTTTCTTTTCTTTTTTTCTTTTTTTGGTTTTTTGAGAGAAAACCAAAGGCTTTGCGCCTTTCCTGGATCTCGCTCTGCAGACCAGGCTGGCCTCGAACTCACAGAGATCTGCCTGCCTCTGCCTCCCAAGGGCTGGGATTAAAGGCGTGCGCCACCACCGCCCGGCTTTCTTTCCTTTCTTAATCTTTGCATTTCTTTGGGAGAGAAACACTTTTGGTCCTGTCTTTTAATCATTCATAACAATTTGGATAACTCCAGCTTAGGTAGCAGATTTTCTTTCTTTCTTTCTTTCTTTCTTTCTTTCTTTCTTTCTTTCTTTCTTTCTTTCTTTCTTTCCTTCCTTCCTTCCTTCCTTCCTTCCTTCCTT